CAAAGGCCTGTGCAAGAAGACAAAGTATTTTAATTAAATTTTATTATTATTATAAAGTTCTAATAAAAAGACCTGGACCTAGAAAACCAAAAAGGAAGAATAACTCAACACATTTCAAATTGAAAGAACCAAAGAAAAACATTAAAGCCTCATGTTGCAATATTGAAGGATTCTATAAGTAAATATTCAACGATGCAGGAAGCATCAGAATGAGATGGAAGGAATACACAAAAATCAATGTACAAATAGAACCAGTTGACATGCAAGCACTGAAGGATGAAATCTAAGCTGCACTGAAAGCATTAGCAAAAGGCAAGACCAGGAATTGGTGGAACATCAATAGAAAAGTTTCAGCAAACTGATAAGGCTTTTGGAGGAAAATGGAATACAGCTCTACCTGACCCATTCCTAAGAAAGGTGACCCCACAGAACATGCCAGTTATAGAACAATATCATTAATGTCACATGCAAGTAAAAATTAATACCGCATGCAAGTAAAAAGATAATTTAACAACAGTTCCAGCAACATATCAATAGGCTGGTACCTGAAACTCATGCTGGATCACAGAGGACACGAGAGAAGTGATAGCACAGCTGATGTCAGACAGAGCTTGGCTGAAAGCAGAGAATCCTGGAATGATGTTTATTTGTGCTTTATTGACTATGTCCAGGCATTTCACTGTGTGGATCATAACAAAGTATAGACAGCATTGAAAGAATGAGAATTTAAGGATGCTTCATTGTGCTCATGCGAAATCTGTTCTTGGATAAAGAGACAGTCTTCGGACAGAACAAGAGAATACTGTATGGTTTAAGATTAAGAAAGGTGTCTGTCTAGGTTGTATCCTTTGCCATACTTATTCAATCTGTATGCTGAACAAATAATCAGAGAAGCTGGATTATATGAAAAAGAATGTGGTTCAGGATTGGAGGAAGGCGTCGTAACAACCCACAATAGGAGATGTCACCACCTTACTTGCTAAAGTGAGGAGGACTTGAAGGACTTGCTGATGAAGACCAGGGATTGCAGCCTTCAAGAGAGGTTGGTGGGAAATAGGGAGCTTATAACAAGGACTATAAGAATGAAAAATGTCCTCTTGGTGGTGTAGTGGTTACACACTGGGCTGCAATCCCCAAGAATGAAAAATATATTCTAAAACTGATTATCATAATGATCGCACAACTCTTCTTGATGTGATCGAACTATTGAATTGTTTGATATGTTAATCAAATTGTGTGTGTGTATTTTTAACAAAAAAGGATTACAACCTTCAGTATGGATTACAATCAAGATAAAGAAAGCCAACATCATCATAACTAGACCAATAGGTGACATCGTGATAAAGAGAAAAGATTGAAGTTATCAAGGATTTCCTCTTGCAAGGATCCATATTCAAAGCTCATGGAAGCAGCAATCGAGAAATAAAATGATGCATTGCACTGGATAAGTCTGCTCCACAGACTTCTGTAAAGTGTTGAAGTGCAAGGATGTCATTTTGAGGACTAAGGTGCTCCTGACCCTAGCCATGGTACTTTCAGTCACCTGAGAGCATGCAAACATTGGCCATGGAATAGGGAAGACTGAATGAATGCTTTTGAATAATGGTTCTGGCAAAGAATATTGAAATAACCGTGGACTGCCAAAAGAACAAACAAATCTATCTTGGACGAAGTGCAGTCAGAATGCTCCTTACAAGTAAGGACAGCAAGATGTTGTCTCAGGGACGTTGGAAAAGTTGTCAGCAAAGACCAGTCCCTGGAAAAGGAGAACATGATTGGTGTAGCAGAAGGGCAGTGGAAAAAAGAGGAAGGCTCTCAAGAAGATGGATTGACATCAAGACTGCAACAATGGCCTCAAAAATATAATGATTGGGGGATGAAGGGAGACGTCGGACAGGGCAAGATATGACAAAATACCCATTTATAAACTATCTAGGGCTCATGCGGGAGGGGGGAGCGGGGAGGGAGGG